TTCAATTCAATTCAATTTTATTTGTATAGCGCATATTTACAACAACAGTCATCTCATAGCGCTTCACAAAGGCAGAGACAGAAACACCCAACAATCCAAAACATCTGGATTCCCTATAAGCTTCAGCAGTCCGCAACAGAGGGAAGGAACCGAAAACCGAAAATGTTGGTGAAGATTTACAGAAAATGACAGGTTTTATTTCTGAATCTGAATCTTAAAACCAAACAGATTCCATGTTTTGGGTAGATATCGAGGTAATAATTAGGGTTTTTTTTTTGCACTTTTTAATGGTCTGAATCAGTCCTGTTCTTGATTGCATTCATATCCTGATAGCTGCACTGAATTAGAGTTCAGTGGATTTATGTTTTCCAGCATATTTCTTCAATTCAATGCCTTTTTTCTGTCGTTGCTGGAAATAGTTTGTCATCAATCACCGAAACTCATTTATGTCTGCATGTCTGTCTTTCTCTCTGTCAGTTTTTCTTCTGTTATTCCCTACTCAAATGTTCTTATTGTTGCTTAAAGCTGCATTTATAGATGTTTTTTGTTTTCTTGGAGGCGGCAGATGAACCTGACCAAACAGTCCTGTCTTGTCGCAGACAGCTGCCCTCCCTGAACCTGGTTCTGCCGGAAGTTTCTCCTTCTTCTTCTTCTTGTTCTGGACATTTTATTGCTCCTGCTACATTTTTACTCACTGTGGGTGCATTTTTTTTAATGCAGTATGAAGTGCTGCACCTCTATGGAAACAGAACAACCATGAGTAGATGTAGAGAAAACTCAGAAATGTCTTCTGTGCAGTAAAACACTGCTATGATGCAATAATTAAAAAAAAAAGAAAAAGAAAAAGAAAAGCTGAATTTCTTTGATTACTTATTTTACCAAAAACAAAATTGACTCAACATGTACAACAGCGTTCCAGGTGTCCACAGGTGTTGCCAGTACTGGAAAAAAATATTACTGGCTCTACATATGAAAGATATTTTACTTTAATTTGTTTTCATACTTGCCTGCCTTATGCTCTGTGTGAACGCAGCCTGCAGTTCAGCCAAAAAGTCTTCGGATTTTTCTCACAAAGACTGTTGGTCACAGTTGAGTCACTAATGGCTTCACTGTGGTGCCGGGGAATGCAGAATTTTTAGTTTTTTACAGAATCTAGTTAAAGCAAACAGTTATTTTTTGGTGGATTTTTCAAATAAAGTGATAAAAAATCACACTTTCTAGCTTAGATTTGGTTTTCAGACACAACAGGTCTGATAAATGGTGTTACTTTTCTTAAAGATAGTATGACTTTCAAACCTACCGGTGAGTGTTTAGGTTTAGAGGGTTAAATTAATCATTATAAACATCAACATAAACATACTTTGGACAATTTTTTTTTGAATCACACTAAACAAATCAAGAGTCTATAGTTAATCTAAATGCAAACGAAAGTCAGAATACAGACAGAAAAAGACAATCAAGCACAACAAAATCCAAAAACAACCTGCGGAGAGAAAAAGCAGAGCAAATACATCGAAGTAATTCAGCGTTGCCGGTCAGATATGAGTCAGCGATCATCTCATATTCAGCTCTCATAAGTGGAATTAAAGACCGTCGCAAGTCATCCATATGAAAAAAGTTATTCAGCCGTTAAGCAAAACATTATCAGAATGAAATATGCATCCCTGATCGTATTCTGTATTAATCATAGCGTTGTTCTTTTGGGGAGAAGGCCAAGGTAAATGGTAGATAAAAAAGAGACGAATATGTGCCGAGAATTTTAAGAATACCGGCTCTGAAATTAATTACCGCAAAGCGTTCGCGCATTTTAAAAATGGAGAGGGCAGCTTCATTGAATTGAGAGACTAAATCAGAAAAAAAGCCTGTTTGTATGAGACAAACGGTTGAATTATGTTAAATCGACTCACAAGGCTTCAGACTTTAATCCTGTTCTTACAGTTTTTAACTTTGGCCGGGTTGGAAGGTGAAGGTCAGAGGTCACGGCGGCGACACGATGCTAACAGAGCGAAGAGGAGCGACGCTATCGTGCAGATTAACGACTGATGGAGCAAAAGCAAATTCCTGCAGCTCAAATGGATGCGGCGATGTCCCCGGTTTATCTTGGTGTGCGTGGCGCTTTAACGCTGTGTGTTTGTGTGCGCGCCATCCATTGTCCTGTCTCACTAATCACAGCAGCTCGGGGCTTCATTTAATCAGCCGAGCGCGCCGCAGCGTCCCATAATAACTTATCAACACTCGTAGCTTATAGATGAAGGCTTAATTGCCAAAATACTGCGGCGTCTCTCCCTCGCTGTCATCATTATAATGTGCAACTCAGAGGCCCAGACGCTGAAAGTTACCTGTTTCCAGGAAACCACGATCTTACAATAGAAAACGTTCTTTTATTTTAATTTTGTGCCTTTTAAGTTTTAATGAAAAGGGTTTTTATCCAGTGAAAAACCTTTGATTTGAAGCCAGAAACAAATTATAGGAGCCCAAAGCTACCAGCGCTCCTGATGTGCGAGGTTTGTGTCTCTTTGTGCTTGTTTTGACCCTTTTTGTAGTTGTTTTGACCGTGAATGTCGGCATTTTGCATCTCTTTGTTGCTGTTTCGTGTGTCATTGTAGGTTGTTTTGACCCTTTTGTAGTTGTGTTGACTGTTTTTGTAGTTGTGTTGACTGTTTTTGTAGTTGTGTTGACCCCGTGTGCTGTCACTCTGCATCACTTCGTTGCTGTTTTGGGTCTTTTTGTGGTTGTTTTGACCATGTGTGTTGTCATTTTACACCACTTTGTTGGTGTTTTGTGTCTTAATGTAGTTGTTTTGACCCCGTGTGCTGTCACTATGCATCTCTTTGTGGCTGTTTCGTGTGTCATTGTGGTTGTATTGACCCTTTTGTAGTTGTGTTGGCTGTTTTTGTAGTTGTTTTGACCCAGTGTGCTCTCACTATGCATCTCTTTGTGGCTATTTGTGTGTCATGTGGTTGTGTTGATTCATTTGCAGTTGTAATTGTTTCGACTGTTTGCTATTGTTTTGCAACTCTTGTTTTGTGTCTGGTTGTGGTTGTTTTGCCCCTTTTTGTAGTTTTTTTTACCTTTTTTGTAGTTGTTTTAAACGTGTGTTGTCCTTTCATGTCTTTGTTCGTGTTTTGTATCCTTGTAGTTGTTTTGACCTTTTTTATAATTGTTTTGACGATACATGCTGTCATTTGCCATTTTTTCTTTGCTGTGTTGTGTCTTGTTGTGGTTGTTTTGACCTTTTTTGTAGTTTTTTTTTGACATTTTTTGTAGTTGTTTTTGTTGTCATTTTGCATCTCTTTGTTTGTGTTTTGTGTCCTTGTAGTTGTTTTGACCATGCATGCTGTCATTTTGCATATTTTCGTTGCTGTTTTGTGTCTCATTGTGATTGCTTTGCATCTTTTTGTAGTTGCTTTTACCATTTTTGTAGTTGTTTTAAACGTGTGTTGTCATTTTGCATGTCTTTGTTTGTGTTTTGTGTGTCCTTGTAGTTGTTTTGACATTTTTATTGATGTTTTGACTATGCGTGTTGTCAGTTTGCATCTCTTTGTGGCTGTTTTGTGTCTTGTTGTGGTTGTTTTGCCCTTTTTTTTAGTTGCTTTGACCATTTTTGTAGTTGTTTTAAACGTGTGTTGTCATTTTGCATCTCTTTGTTCCTGCTTTGTGTGTCACTGTAGTTGTTTTGACCATACATGTTGTTATATTGCATATTTTTGTTGCTGTTTCGTGTCATTGTGGTGGTTTTTATCCTTTTTTGTAGTTGTTTTGAGTCTGCATGCTATCATTTTGCATCTGTTCATTGCTGTTTTGTGTCTCATTGTGGTTGTTTTGCCCCTTTTTTGTAGTTGCTTTGCACATTTTTGTCGTTGATTTGACCATGCCTGTTGTCATTTTACCTCACCTTGTTGCTATTTCGTGTCTGTATGTGGTTGTTTTGCTCCGCTTTGTAGTTGTTTTAAACGTGTGCTGTCATTTTGCATCTCTTTGTTTGTGTTTTGTGCGTCCTTGTAGTTGTTTTGACCACACATGTTGTCATTTTGCATCTTTTCGTTGCTGTTTTCTGTCTCATCGTGGTTGTTTTGACACACAACCTCCTTTTGCATCTGTACCGAGGAGCTGTTTGCAGCCTGTGCGGCAGAACAGAAGCGCTGCATTTAACTTTCACCACTTGTGTTCAGTTACAAAATGTCAACAGTGAGCGCAGCGGAGAATATTTAGGAGGCTTCAACAAAAGCAGCAGTGTTATTTAAACTTTAATAGAAAGACTGAGACGAACATGAACAGAAAGCTCATTGATCCGACGAGTTGACGTCACAACTCTTAATTCATGAACTGACTGTTTGGAAAAGCGAAGATGAGACCGACTGTAAAGCCGCGAGACGCTGCAGATTGAAGCGGCGATTTTCTGGAGTTTTCACATTCAGTGTTTCGTTTCTGTAAAAAAATATTGATTACAGCCATCGATTACAGCAAATTAAAACTTCTAAGTCAGAAGAAATGAGGACTGAAGCCTGGTTCAGGTGAAATAAAGGCTCGAGCCTCTTTGTGAATCCGTCAGTAGTTTATTTGCCACAAAGAGAATCCATCTGTGTGTGTGTGTGTGTGTGTTTTTTGTTTTTTTGTTGCATGTGTGTTGCTGTCCGTTGTCCTGTTTGTGTAATCACGGCGACTGCGGGCCTCGTTTAATCACTTCCACACAAAACACAACTTTAACAGTTTCCCCTCTTACATGGATTAGGAGGCAGAGCGCCGGCCGGCCGCTCAGGTTGTTTCACAACGTGTCCCAGTTCCCAGCAGCACCAGGCGACCGCGAGCACCGGCTCCTGGCACGACGATTGCTTTTTAATCCCCCTCTCTTTTGTTTTTGTTTTTTTTTGGTTGCTGTTGTTTTTTGGTGGAAAATGATCTGAGTTCTTGTGAAACTGACATTTGTGCTGAGAAACGTTTGACAGTTTTTAATGCCTCCCTTCCTCCCCTCCCTCTTCTCTCTCTTCTGTCCATTTCAGGTGCGAATAGGATTTACCGCCTTCACCGCCGCTGCTGCTGGAAACATACAGGAGGAAAGAAAAAAAAACAAAGAATGGAGCAACAAAAGAAGAGTTTTTTAATTATCAGATATTGTATTTTTTTTTGTTTGTTTTGTTTTTATCCTTTTTTGTTTTTTACCGATTTTTATCTCTTGATTGTCGCATCCCAGGTCACGCACAACGTCCTCCTCCCGGCTAATCTCGCCCTGAGGTGGCCCCTCCAACATAAAGAAGTTTAAACAAGACCAGGGGGGGAAGGTTGTTATTTTGAGGAGGCACAAACATGCACCCAAATTGAAATCTGAAGGAGAAATTCAGGGTCACGACGTGTGAAGATAATTGAAATTTCCCTCCCTTACAGTGGATTTCAGATTGCTGCTTTCATTTTTCACAGCGGTGTGAGTTTTCCAATAGTATTATCGTCGGAGTCTTCAGCCCGCACGTGCACAGACGAGGCTCGCTGCACAAACGCCATCAGCTTATAAGTGAGAAGCCGATTTCCAAAATGCTGTAAACAATCATAGTTAGCGATCGGTGGTGAGGTTTTGGGGTTGTCGACATGCTGAAGCTTCGTTTTGAAGTTTTTCTTTAGTGGGGTTGAGTTCAAACTTTCCCTTAAAGAGCTCGATTGGATTTAATGTCAGTAATGCTGACGCGAACTTTTCCAGAGAATAAATCTTCAAACACAGGCTGCGAAACACATCAGATTCAAATTAAAATGCACATAAACCCGTCACCTCGCTGCAGTGAGGTACAGGTGTGCTGCAGGAAGCTGTGACCTCACAGAGGGGCGGAGCTACAGAGGTCACCTGAGGTCAATAGGTGAGGGCAGCGAATCAGCTGCTCTGTAGGCTGGAGTTTGAATATCAGTATGGAAGCCCATTTGTGCCAATTTAAGAAGCATTTAAATAGAAAAATTAATTTGTTTCTTAGAAAAATGTCCATGATGTCGCAGAGTAAATCCAAACTGTCATTTTAGCTCATTTCAACTCAAAACTGACACTTCACAAATTTCAAATTTAGATTTTTAAATTTAATATTTTACTTTCTATCCAAAATTATTGACTGACTCCTAATAGTGACGTGTTGTTCCTAATTTTGACCCCATACATATGACTTTCTGTTTAAGAATTTTCACTTAACGCAATCAGATAATTGACGATCTCAAATTATGACTAATTTACACTTAGCATGTCAACTAATGACTTTTTCCAAACTTAAAAATGAGTATTTTTACCTTTGTGTAAAGTCATTTACTATCTCATAATTGCGAACTGTTAATTCCTCATTCTCACTGAACGTCAAACTTCTCTTGTTATGACTTCTTCACTGGCACTTTTGACTGTACGTCACGTCAAAACTCTATTTTTATCTCAGAATTTTGACTTTTCAACTTAAAAATGTGACTTTACAAATTAAAAATGTTGATTTTAACTTAAATGTTTGACATTTTATCTCAAGTTTCTTACAGTCTTATAGTTACGACATTGTAGTTCCTGATTTTGACCCAATTTTGTGACTTCACTCTTAGATTATGTATTTTTATCTCATCTTCTGGACTTTAACACTTGAACACTTAAACACTTCTACTTTGCATGTCATAATTTTGACTCCTTATGTCAATTTATGACTTTCTGTCTTTATTTTTAGTCCAGATTTTTTAGGTTGTTTTCTGTCTCATAATAGTGATTTTTTTTCATAACAGCCAACTTTGACTTAGTTTGTCTTAATTGTTACTTTTCTTTGATATTGAGTTATGAGTTATATATATATATATGTTTAACTTTTTCGGCACAAATGGTCTTCCGTATTCTGCTTCATGAATGAATGGAAACATTAAAATCCTTCACCTGCTCTTTAAGCGGAGGCCTTACTGCTATCTTAAAGAACATTTCCATGAACTCCTCGGTAGCTCAGCACGACTGTAGCATCCGTCCTCTCTCTCCTCACGCTTCCTGACTGTCAAGGGAACACAAAAAAAATAATCCCACAAAAATATAAATAAATAGTGTTTCCATCCACCTGTTTTATGCGCCTGGAAAAAAAAAGTGGAAAATTTGGGGGAAAAAAGATTCCTCGCGTTAATACATGAAACAGTCGTTTTCATGCGGAATTGGCTCCACCGGCTGTTTATCTCCACGAACCGGTGAACTAATATTCACAGAACAGCAGCGGCTGGATGGAAACTTCGACTCCTGAGCTGCACTTTAAAGACGAGGTTTGATTTGTATGTTAATGTCCAGATAACTTCCCTTTAAGAAGAATATTTACCGTCAACGCGGAGGATCCAGCGTTTCCTTTAAGCGGGAGTTTGACTGATGATCAGACAGACGTGTATCTTTGAAATCGCTGTCCTCGGTTCGGTTTCGTCAAAATCCTCGTGATCATTCTGAACGTCGCCTTTAAGAGGAAACTCGGTTCAGGATCTGCACTTTACTGGAAGTAAATCCCTGAACTTTCCCTTTAAGTGACCCTGGGGGAGGCCATGTTGGAGGGGGGGGGGATTAGCAGGCCGTGAACCCGGCGGATGGATGAGGCGGTGTTTGTGCGTGACCCGCGTTGCCGTGGAGACGTGAGGATGAGGAGGAAGGTGAACCGGAGCACTGAATGTGTGCCTGCAGCAGCAGTCTGACTGTACACACCGACAGACCGACCGACAGACCGACCGACAGGGTGGATTTAAAACAAACAAACAAGAAAAAAAAACACACACAAACGCCGAGTGCCAAAGCTGGGATCTGCTGCATTCTCACTACACTTTTGAAAAAAAAAAAGGGTTCTTCTTCTCGTTGTTGTAAATAGGATATATATGTTTGTTTGTTTGTTTTGTTTTCCTGTATTGCTACAGATTTGTAAAATTTTGCGGGAAAACTTTTGTTACATTTTGTAAAATGGGAGCAACTCGTCCCCCCGAAACGCCCTCCTTTTTTTTTTTTTTT